ATTTGATCTTTCCAAGTTAATGACTGGTCAATTTTTAGACCTGAGTATTTGTAGCAAACCTCTCTTTTGAGAGTTTTGTTATTTGCTTTGATCAGAAAAGGATAACTAAGGTTTTTAGCTTTATTTTGGCTAGTCATTATCATATATTTCGTTTTTTGCCACATTTAAACTAAGCATATTTGTTTTCAGCCAGATTTGAATTTCATTCAGGCCATCATTCATTTGTTGTTCAAGAACTGACTCATTTGCATTTGCCAAAGTTAGGCTAGTATCATCTGCATGCATACGGATATTAGAATTCAGATCACAAGCTGAAAGATCATTAATATAGATTATAAATAACAAAGGCCCTAAGATTGACCCGTGAGGTACGCCACATCTAATCATGTGACTTTTTGAAAGTACCCGGCCCATCAACGGTTGTTTTTTGTTCTCTGTTAGTTAAATAAGACCTGAACCATTTTAGGCTAGGTTCATTGACACCACATAATCTTAGTTTTGCTAAAAGAATTTCATGATCTATGATGTCAAACGCCTTTTTCAGGTCAAGGAAAATTATTCCGTTTAAAATGCCTTTGTCAATATTTGTGAGCCATTCATTTGTGGCATCCAATAGTGCTGTCACAGTAGAAAATAGCGGTCTGAATCTGACTGTGAGTCAGTAAGCAACTTATTTTCTACCAGTTAGTTATAAAGTATGTTAAAAACTATTCTTTCTATAAGCTTTGTGACAGCAGGTAGTACCGAGATAGGTCGATAATTGTCTGCAATACACCTGTTGTCACCCTTGTCGCCCTTATAGATAGGAATTACTTTAGCAATCTTCCAGTCTGCTGGAAAAATACTCGTTTGTACCGAGAGATGGAACAATTATTGAATTAGCCTCCTTAAGCAACCTGGTAGAAATGCCATCTAATCCACATGCCTTATTTAATGGCAAGGCTTTGAGTAATTTATCTACTTCTATAACTGAGGTTTCCTTAATGCTAAAATGACACTTTGATGGACTCATGTAATCTGTGAAATGTTTAGGCTAAGGGGCTAGCTCAGAGGCTAATTTGGGCCCAATTTCAGTAAAATGATGATTTAATGCTGCGCTTATTTCTTCTGAAGTAGAATTAACATTATTCAAAAGCATTCCATTTTATTCTGAATGATTACGAATTGATTAATTCCTTTTCCCTTCATTTTGTTTAAAAACCCATCCAGTTTAGCGCTTATTATCTTTTCAAAGGCAAACAAAGGACTGGGC